TTACCCATTTCAGAAAACTATTTCTTTTTTATCAAGTCTACTACTCTGGATGACAACTTTAGAGAGTCACTGCCACCCGATGGGATGCAACTAAAGTCCTATGTAATCTCACCACCCGCATTGAAGGGAATCCTACAAAAAGTAGGACTTTGTTGCCTGGCCCCAAACTTCTGATGCTGAAATAGCCTTGGGTAGGGAAGTACACCAATGTTATGATATGTAGACATAAAAGAGTCAGTCGATGTTGAAAGTTTTAAATGGAGTTAGTTTGTTTCCAAAAACCATTCTATCATAATAATTTATTTTCATTCATTATTTGGCAACATTAGAGTTTACTTCACTTGTTCAAGGACCGCTTTGCATGGGCTAACATCGTAAGCGTATTTGTCCCTCTAGTAAACCCGTTTTTGGTTTCACTCTGTTGTGACTAGCTTTGACATTTTTTCTGCAACTAACCTCCAATCAGGAGCATTGAAAGTAAGTACTCACACTAAATCCTTCGAATTCTTGAACCAAAGGTTATGCTGTCAAACTAAATCACTCAACAATTATTCAAAAGTACTTTGAACAACCTTTGGCTTGCACTGATGGATTCTCCTCTCACAAAATTTTTTTGATCGGTGTATAAATTCGAAAAGAACTGCAAAATTCAGGGCCGTAAGTCTTATCTGACCTTGGGTAGATAAGGTCGACATCGCGGGTGGCCAAGTTAATGCGTCGTTCTGTGGTGAACTTTATGGTTGAGGCGAGGGCGAATGCACATCTCAGTATGCCAAACTGGAAGTTGCGGTAACAAGGCTTACTATACCCTGGCTCTTTAGGATGATACAAACCTCCCTCCGGCAGTCTTTCAGCATATAATTTGCTGGATCCTTCGTTGCGATCGATAAGAAGTGTGAATGAAAGATGAAAATAATGTGGCCGAGGTATGAACGGTTCTCGAAAGTCAATTAAAACACTTGGAAGATTACAGCGCATTAAATAAGATGGTAAAACCATTGGCTTTATTAGGATTTAAGGGACAATAAGTTGTGATTATAAACAAGTAGTTGCAACTGTTACATCTGGTTTTTTGCTTGAAGCAACCATTTACTGTATATAAATTAGGTTTTGCCGTCTCCCATAGATTTGAAGATGATATTATGTATTGAGGGATTTGGAGATGCCAGATGTCTGAATCTTGATCGATTCCAAATCTCCACTTCCTCCGTAGACGCACCGGTCGGGAACTAAATACAATGTTTGACTCGCACTTACTACATTCCTCGAATGGCACTAAGGATGCATGCATAAATTGAGTCTTGAAGCAACCGGTTGAAAATAGTTAGTTTAAACTGCAAAAGTCTCAACCAATTTGTTTCTTATGTGTCAGACGCTGGTGAAGTCGAGGGTCACAATAGCTGTAGAGCATGGCATTGGTGCAGCTGTCCTCACTCGAGATGCGTCTTTAAAAAAAGATAAGCATAAGTGTTAAAAGTTGCGGAAATGTCGGGCTCGTCTCGTCTTATTTAATCCTTTGCTTACAAATGTGTTTGAAAATAAACTACCGTATTTCCTTTGAAGCGCTGGCAATTCGCAAACTTTAGTTGGCTTAAATTCCAAGACAACTAGGCAACATTAACCAGTTCTGTCTTGACGTTTATGGCTTTCATAAATGTTGAATGAGACCCAAAGACATGTGGTATGTCTTCTTATTCCTTTGTGAATTTGCAACTCTCGTTGGGCGCCCATGAGAAGCATCTGCCAAAGCCAAAAATATAATCAGATCTTAGTAGATAGATCAGTGGATGAATTTTCTGTGTTAGCAAAAGTCTTTGCTACATATGACTGTGCATATCGCTAACATGCCTGCAAAACATTAGTTCAAACCGAGATTCCCACCAAACGCTAGTTGTACATCATGAAGGTGTTGCTTGCAAGTGCTTAAGGCACGCTCAACTAATATTCACAGTACATCCTCACAGAAACTGACATTCTAGACTATTGCTGCAACCTCAGGTAGAATTTGTTTTGCCATAGGACAAAAAGCGTCCAAGCAAACATGAATTTATGGTAAATTTATTATGAAGGGAGCGACTACGTTATTATTAAAACCAAAAAATGCAACTGTGGCTAAGAATGCATCAGTAACAATCTAGCAAAGCAAACTGCGAAGGACTTCCGAAAAATACAGAGGTTAATTTAGCAAACGATCGCAAGAGGATGAAACACTCAGTGTTCAGCACTTGCTTACTCTGTTCGCCGAACAACGAACTGGGAAAGCAATATATTCGATTATATGATGGGCACTTCATAAAGTTTTCCCATGCAGAAGAAGCAGGCGGGAAAGATGAATGACTGATCGGTGCCAGACGTTGGGGATTTGGTAACATGGATGGGCGAATGTGGGAACGTGTTGTTGCTTCTCCCATAGCTCTCCTGAAGTAAGGAATGAGCATTCATTCGTACACTTTTACCCTAAAGAAAGCACATCGATTTAGCATGAAGACACAATAGTTCGGCATTAAACTTTAAAAAAATGACCCACACTCAAGGTAAGTGCGCTTTGCCGGAAGGCCAATACACCAAGACTTCTTAAAAGAGTGTAGTAACATTTGAGCCACCAAAAGGTGGAATGAAAGGGAAGACAACGTTTGGAAAGGAATAGAAATTCTTGAAGCACCCACCAATTTTTTTATGGGACTGGAAAGAGGGTGTATAATCACGAAACACACAAGGCAAGTTTCTTGCATCAATCAGCATAAAATCCTTGAGTCTGACTGACCAAATGAATGGGCTCATGTGGACGTAATTTAAACATGCAATAACCTCTGTGATGCTTAACCATATAGGGCTTAAGTATTTTTAATCAAGTTAAAATGGTAAGGCAATGCCACCTGCTGCCGTTAGCGTTGGCGGCTGATACACACCCTCAGCATCACAAATCAAGCACAAATATTATTTAGTAATATTTTGGGACCAGGATGGCATACATTCTGTGGCCTCTTTTGTCCAATTTAGACAAACTTCTATGGACTTGATTTAGCTCAAACCCCAAATCTGAGGGCGACCACATGTGCTGACCAGCGAGCCAGATGCTGCATTAGCGTCTTCTTTTCAGGCTACCGTTCGCCACGCTAATCAAGTATTTCATCAGCGTGCGATTCGGATATTAAACAAAACACAACAAATACGAAACTTACTGTGCAGTTTTATGTGTTAATGAGAGGATTTATCCAGCCTTTTAATATCATGGTTTGCCTTCGAATTTCCTTCAGAATGCCTCATCAGCAAAATGGTAAAATTTAGCATGGAAAAAAGAGGAGCATGACAGTCTGTGAGTTGCGATGGCTTCCTGGAAAATCGACTACTGCCTGTTACGCGGACTTCGAAGGGGTAGTGTATGAGGAAATTGCCTGGTGTTGATGGTTGGTGGAGATTAGGGGACGGTGTTGTAAATGTGAGTTAAGTTTTAGGAATGAATGGAAACATTTAGTTTCAATCACTTGAGTTGGCTTTAAAACAGTCCGTTTAAAATACGACTGAAAGTTGATATTGTGTGGGATCTTCTAAAACAAAAAATGGCCCTATGACTTAAACATTTGTGTATTTTAACCAAAAAATAGACCGCTTCAACTAATTCGTCTTTAAAGCAAAAGAGGAGTGCCAGCGCAAAATATGTTCCCCTTTTGAAGTGTCATGACACAGTTTGAATGATTTCACAGGAATTACAAAGAACTGCCATTTTATGAATTATAAATAAAAAATGAATTCCTTTTTAATAGACGCGGACCATTATGCGTGGATATGCAGAGCTTTTTATAAGTACAAATGGTGTTGTTTGTGCCTGAATATGCCTAGACGAAATAGTGGGAAAGAAATTAGCTCACCTGTCCATCTCTCTGAGCATAAACGGCAAATTTGGATTTTTTACAATGGGATGGAACGTTTTGACTAAGAAATGTACAATGTCTGGACGCAGGGACACGCTAATCTAACTGAGCGGTTAGGACGACGAGAAGACTATATCCTCCTCATAATTAGAAGGCAGCAAGTTACATTTATGCTAACAACGAAACGAGTGAATTGCAGCTCTTTCAACGGTTTATGCTGAATGAGGCTTCACACATGAGAAGAGAGCAATAGCTTTGGTTTTTGTGATCCGATTAAATGCTCCACCACGTATTCGTCAATGAGATAACTCCTAGGGATTAGAAATTGGAGCAGGCTTATGCCATGGCAGCTGTCGGTGCGGCATATTTCAATAGTAAACGCGGACGCAGCACAATCCAAAAAAACTTTTTGTCGAACGCATATCTGGTTGGTCAGTTTTGCACGAAATTTCCGTTAGAGCTATTTTTTGATCGGGCCAACTCCGCATTCACACAGAAGATTCTCTCCTGAAAGTCAGTTACATGTATCGAGGGGGCGAGCGCCAATTGCGAGAAATCATTCAACCACAAATGCTAGATTTGTATCAGATGACATTTCTGTGGTATACGCGGAAGGAACATTTTCAGATTAAAATAAGCTATTCACACTATCTCTTGCAACTAGCACTAAGAAAACATTTTCATACGAAAGCGTCAAACATTGGTAATGCATAAAATACAGGTGTTCTGCTTTAATCCATGCTAGAACAGTTGGTAAATCTAACGCCTGCCAAAAATATGGGCAAAATTTGTTTTTTTAATAAAGTAAACGCTAGCCACCATTGTCTGGATGGACATTATTCTATTGTAGAATCGGCTAACATTTTGAAATATGAAGAAAACATCTTGCGATTCTTATGTTCCACTAACTTTAGCAATGAACTTCATTCTATGATTAAAAAGCACTTTGGCCAAAATGGTAATTGCAGTTTTGACAGAATCATGTACAAGGAAGAGAGGAAAAGTAGTTCTCTGCTTTACCATCTGCAGTACTCGCACCACGTCTGTACAAAAGGGTTAATGATTAGCCAAAGGACGAGGAGTTATTTAATGAAGTGGAAGGAGGGATGGAGAGGATGAAAGGTGGGCTTATATCACACTACTAGGAAATTCAGAGGAGCCACTGCCGGTAATCTCATCTCTGCTTATGTTCACGTCGCGAAGGCGGTGCACTAATTGTTCGTAGGGTGGCATGACGTTTGTCTCTGCTCCCTTCCCAAGGCGTGCATAGCCATTCTCAAGGTCGACAAAAGTCCTTTCGCCAGTAAGCGCGGTCTCCCGCGACTCATCCTCTGGTGAATAGGTGTGCAGCTCGTGCGGTTCCATCCGCCAACTGACGGTGGGCGCCGATTTCTTGCCTCCACCTCCACCACTTCCTCCGTTCCCGCGTGAACTCCTACCAAGGTGAGTGGGGGTGTTGTGAATCTGCACATAGCGCAGCTGCTCTGCGGTCACCTTGGATGGAGTCGCGCTAGGGGTGTTAACCAACATTGTGTAGCACTGTTTATTCTTGATCCCCTCCGATGTGGCTGCACCGCTTCCTGAGGGTGCGGTAGGTGAGTTGGTGGTCAAAAGACGCAAGGCCTCCTGCGCACCACCATGTGGATAAAGATTTTCCCCTTTGAAGCCATTTTGAGGTGGGTTGGTAGTTCTTCCTACTAAAATCAGATCAGACTATCCGTAGTCTGTGAAACGTATGACCCAAAGGCTCTTTCAAATAGCTTAGATAGGGCAATTCACAACACATAGAGTCAGTGTGCAATGGGAAGTAGATTCCAATGGCATTCAACCTTATTTTTGGTAGTAAGAACATTATGCAAATATATGTATCACGCATTAGTGCTGAGTGCAATTGTGTTCTGAAAAATTACAAGCCGTTTGTAGAGCATAAAGTCAAAGCCGGTAATTTTGATGCAGCTTTATAAATCACAAGGGAGCAGAGGACAGCACCGTTTAGACATGCTTCCCTACATCGTTTTTTGCATTAATCCAAATGTTTTAACTTATTGTTCATCCACATTAATTTCATAAGGCATTTAATTTCTGCTTCTGTTCTGTATAACTGAAAAAAAATGTGGGAAACTGTTTGTGTTTCGACAATCTGCAAGAGATAATTTATTAAGATAAGGCTTGTATGCTGCAGCCTTCAGGACGAAAAAGTTAACATTACTTTATAGTCCTATAGATTTGAATGCAGAAAAATATGGATTTCACCGCTCCCGGAATACCTGTGCCATCATTCTAAGTCATTCTCTGGAGCATAAAGAAGATGTTTGAGTCGCCAACACGAAATGCGAAAGATATTATGCCAAACAGGTACACATTGACCTATTAATTTAATAAGTACTTTAAACAGTGATTTTGCTACTCGATTTGTAAAACAAAGGAGCAAAAGCCATCCTAACAAACTAGGAATTCGAATGGAGCCGTTTATTACCCTTCTTATTTCACCCTTCATATTATAGAGTTAACTTGCAAAAAACATCTAAGTAAGTATTTGCATCGCTAAATGAGCATAGCCTTAGTGAGTCACTATTTGGATTTGAAATTCAACCACTATAAATCCACTCAAGTTTGATAAATAGAAAACGAAGGTTCACAATGCATGACCGTCCACGCACTCCCACCCCTTAGAATGGAAGTGGTCACGGATTGTTTCAATGCTATGACCCAATGTTTAAAGAATTAGAGACAAGGAAAGCCTTCTAAAACACCAAAGAATAAAGTCTTAAAATATCTGTGGATTATACAGTGCTGTCTTTTTACCGCTGTAAGAGGAAGAATTTGCCTTTAAGTATCTGCCCTTCAAATGACGCTCGCTTGACGCGTAACATAAATAAAAGGATGACATTGGGTAAATGAAGTTTGTATGAATGCATCCAAAAAACGTCAAAAAAATGCACTTTGCTACACTCACATGTAGCGGCCTTTGTCCTGCCTGTACGGTCAACCGCTGTAGAACTCTTTTTAAGCCGCCAAGCATTTTTCTTCTGAAACGTGGAGAATTTACTTATTAATGTGCCTAAATACAAAATCATGCATAAGTAAAAGTAAACAGAGCTCTTTCACATTAAATTATTTATCAATTCACGCTTGTAATTTGGTATCATGCAGAAACACTGCATTATTTAAGTAGGAGAGTTCTGATTACAATAATTTCCGATAGTCTTGTTCTGGAAGAGTTCGTCTGATTTTTAAGACAATCATGAAAACAGGACGCAAAAAAATCAGGGCCGCTGTCAAAATATTTCTCATGGTTGTGTTTAACAGCTCCATCTCTCATTCCAGCAAGTAACGCAGCTCTTGGCAGTCCAAAGGGAACTAGAATGAAAAGCAATTTGGGATGTTTTATGCCCACAAAACATGACCGTAAAACTTTGATTTTATGCAAGACGAGATTAACCAGTTAAAGTGAAAAAGTTCACTGCAACAGTAGTAGATTGTTAAAGTGATGGAGGGAAAATTACATTCCATCGTCGTTTCGAAGGTCCACTTTCTTGCATTGAGCCCTTGATCTAAGGACATGTTTGGAGAGTTTGGAAGAAACACAGTAATAGACTGTAAGTTGTGAGCCATGAATTTTAGAATGAGTAAAGTCATCTCGTTGGATTAAAATTTACTACGTGCCTGCAAAAACTTGACGCCGAAAACAAATGCGTGATTTTGAATGTTCCATTTTGCGTGCTCGCGTGTGTGGCACATTTCTCCACGTCTAATTGGGATTTATTGCCATTGTCTTTGAGGACAAAAACAAAGTGTTTCGCTTAATAAATAAGTTCATTATTTTAAAAATTCTAATTAATCCTACTTTTCCGCGCGTCATCTGTTCTTCTCCAACACAAACAATGCTTGGGAGATTATTCAAGCGTCCTAAATAGTGTCATTTTATTCAAAAAGAAAAGGGAAGCCAGTAGCCTTTTTGCACCAAAGACAGTGGGTTCATCAACACCACAGTCAACCTACTTTTCGATAAAAATCAAAAAGAACCAATGGCACCACATAGGTGCGTTTGCGGCGGCAATGCCTCAGAGGTCAGTGCTTTCAAAAACTTACTTGGGCTATAACAAACAGATGTGTCCCGTTAAAAATAGCATTTTTAGCATCACGTATATCGTCAAAAAAGGTCACATTGGTTTAGCCTGATATCGCATTAATGCCGTTGCTTGGATCAACTACCCATTCCGCTCTCATATTTAAAAGAAACAGTCTTTTCCAAGGTATCAACGAGACATTCGACAGATTTTAGACCTAACAAACAAAGGCTAAATACGAATATTTTGATTGATCGTAGGCTAGCAGGTGAAACTCCAACTTTTGTCACATAACTGAAGCATTTTTTGGTTTCTTAAGGCCTTTGCTAATCAAAGTTAACTTCGTTTAAGATTTGACAGCAAGTTACGCGGAGCCGGGACATAGTGACATACAGCACCGAGAGGCTCCTCTTCAAAGTCGCTTTCGCTGTGGTACCCAGTAGGCGTAGTGGTGGTGAGCTGAGTGGAGGAGAGACCAGAGAGGCAGGAGGCGCTCTGAGAGGTTCTCATATCCTGCTCCTCCGAAGCATGTTGCTGGCTTTGCTGCTGTTGTTGGTGGTGATGCTGAGCTCCATTTGCGTTATCTAGGCAGCAGAAAGTTACAAGCCCTTTTTTAAATGCTTTCCACAATTTCGGCGTGATTATTTCAACAAAAATTAGTTTGTACAATGATCGTAAAATCCAATTCACATCAAAGTAATTAACTTTCTACAAATTACAAGACCAGACGCTTTTACCGAAGCTACGAACTAGCGCAATGAGATCTTTCTGGGAGCCAAATCTTTGCATTATTGACAACATTAACTGACATTGTCTACAAATCTGATTGTGCGAATAGCCAGTAAAAGTGGATGCGTAATAAAAAGCCAAAATTAGGTGTAGTTAGAGTTGATTCAAATTACGGGAGAATAAGAAGTTTCAACAGACGACTCGGTTGGTATGTGCAGTTGCCGGTCGCACTGCCATAAAGCCTGCGCGCGTGTTTGAAAAGAAGACATATTTTAACGTCAGGTGTTACTGCCACAAAACTTACGTCTTTGTACCATCCAAGCGCAGTGAGCGCTACCATCCCTTTGTTTTTAACATTCTAATTAGACAGTGGGTTAGCTGGAATGATTAATGAGCTGATTAGACATAATTATTCCTTTGCCTCATCTACACGGGGCTTTAGAAATTAAGACTTCAATCGGTGATAGCACTTAAGCTTAAGATATCGCTAAAAATGTAGACAGGTCAATTTATGGCTTTGATGTATAAAGAGATAAGGCGTCAATTAATGATTATCACATTGTCACTGAGTTTCCAAAGTGAGATTTGGGCCTCTAGCATAACGTCCGATATTTTTGAGATGAAAATTGTCACCTAATCACTAATCACGTTTTACACCATTTAACATGTATTTTAACTTCATAATGCGGCTCCAATCCTCTAATTAGATTCAGCAACTCACGTCTTCTATTTGGTCAGAACGTTGTAGCGTGATGAAACTATGCTGTGTCCCGAATCGCCTGCCATTGCCAAATATTATTCTATGAATTTGCTCAATCCCGTTTCGCGATCCACTGACTTTAGGTAAAAAATAATTATAGGCTAGATTTTCATATCATTTGGAAGATTGAATTGCAAATTGGTTGACTCTTTAGTGCAACATATTCTTTAATACAATCAAAAATAAAGTTGCGCTCCAACAATTACCGATTGTTGAGAGTTCAATCGGTGTCCCGTCCATGCTGACTGCGTAGCCTCCGTCAGGTTTGGTAAGAATGAAAAATTGTCTGCTTTGCTGGTACTGTGTTAGACTTCCATCTTGAAGAGCTCCATCATAATCAATATTGAGAATATTCTTTCCCGTTGATGAACCCCTTGAAGGGATGATTTTGTCTCGGTCCATAGGATAAAAAAGGGTCTCCTCTCCACTCACCAGTGAGCCGTCTTTCCCACTTAGTGTACCAACTCCATGGGAGTCTCTGAAGACTTCTGGTAGATAGGCTTCTTGAGAGGGACCCATATGGTTTGACGGTAACCCGACAGTGGTCTGGGCCACGTTGTTGTAACTGTTCATGGGTCGATCATGGAAGAGACAAACTGGACACCGCAGAAAGAGCATAGCAACAATAAGAAAGAGTGAGATGACTATCGCAACAGCTACCATCACAACAATCACCACGAGATCGTGATGCTGAAAACCTGAGCCTCCAGAGGTAAAGGGAGCGCTAATTCGGTTGTTGCTTGAGTCTACGTATTTAGGACGCTGAAAGTCCATTATGTTGAAAAGAATTGTGCGGTGACTCGACTTGTTCGGTTTTCCCATATCACTCGCCTCGATGAGCAGTTTGACAAGACCCATGTCAGATACTCGAAGCGGGCGAGCCACATATAGAGCTCCGGTCGAAGGGTCCAGTTCAAACATCTCCTGTTTAACCAACTCGATTTCCGTTTGACTGTCGTTGTGTGGGTCAATAGTAACCGCTGTGTTGGATAGTACGGATACATGCATAATTTTGAAAATAATTTGGCCATTCTCACCGAGGTCAGGGTCGTTGGCTCTTAACAGAGCTACCTGATGCCCCACCGGTTCGTGGATAGTGACGTTCACAACTACATTAGATTCTGGAGGGAATAGCCAAGTGGGTGCGTTGTCATTGATGTCGCCTAGATGAACTTGCACCTGTTAGGACGGAAGAACTTCATTTTAGACTTAATTTTGCCTGAACATTAAGAAATGGTTCGATCATTTGAACTTTATTAAGAAATCACAGTCCAGGTAGAGTGTAGTCAGGACGATAAAAAATTTGATTTTGACCTTTTCACCTACATGGCTTACAAGCGATTGGTATAGAGGGCATGGTTTTGGCGGATTTTTTAACAAAAGCGTTTATGACGAAAGATCTGGAGGACGTCAATTTTATCCTCACGCAAAAAATAGTCCCAGCATTGGTACTTAAAAAGTATAGCCAAGCACAAATCAGCTTCACTTAATTCCTAATCATAAGTAATGAGATGCTCTTAGCAATGCTAATTGCCCAATAATTTGATACCTGTAGCCTGACATTCACCTGCAATTTCTGCATGGCCTGCCGAGAGCTTTAGGCTGCCACCGTAAGAGACTTTACACTACCTCACCGGACTCGTGAGTGTTCAGGTAACTAGTTCATACTTTTCAATTTTCCATTAGCCCTTCTATCAAAATATGGATCTTTTACGTGAAGTCAAAATCATGCACCTATTTGCTTGCAAGGGCATTTTAAAGATGCGATTTGTTGCAAAGCTGTTTTTCACGTAAGTACAAAGTGGATTCTCCTATTTCCTGAAGACGGTTTAGTTCAATAATAACTCTTAGATGAGTGCTAGGAGAATATGCTCTGTAAAACCATGCTTACAAAAATACGAAAGCTTCCGACTACTGCTTCAGGATGCCTCAATGAAATATAGGTTTTATGCACTTATCCTCAGTCATATGAAGTTTATAATAGACGTTTCCTGTTCTTGATTTGTTCCATCTCTAACAGAATCCCTCTTTATACTTAAAGTGTCTTCCGCCTTCAACGCTCATTTCCGACCATAAAGTTCATCGAGCTCCTGGAATTTTTGCTGTGCTTATGTCCAAATCCACTTATAAAGTAATTCGCTAAACGATCACATATCTGCATAAAATTTACATATTTCCACAATGCCACATGTTGGGATCGTTCAAACGCTAATAATAATCATCTAAATTTTTGTAAGACTATTACTATAAATTCCAACAATTTTTTAAGGGACTTTTGAGGGTTAAAGCTGAAGCTTATAAGGGATAGGTAAAACTTGGGAACCTTAGCACTTGAAAAACATTTGTCGGTACAATAGTTTTGCCCTCAACGGGCATTGCATTGTATTTGTGTTTGTATTCCGGTTCATGAGGACTTATCGTCGGGGCGCAAAAACAGACCGTGTGGTCTGATTAAGGCGTGTTTGTTTTCGTAGGATCAAAACGAAAAAGCATTATTATACCGATACAAGTGGTCTCACCGACCTGTGCGGTAGCTGACAGAGAGGGTTTCCCTGAATCTGCAGCAACTACCGTGAAGAGATACATGCTTGTCGTTTCTCTGTCAAGGGTTTCCCTTCCCACCAACACACGCCCGTCAGCTGTTACCCGAAAGTCCTGGTTTGCCGGATTCATAATTTCATCCTTTATAAAGTAGCGTATCTAAAAATACAAGAAAATTACTCTTGACTAATCTTTATTGGCTTGTACAGCAAAACATGTAACTTCACCGTTTGATAATGAGAAGTAACAAGTTGCTATCTGTCAAGACATTCCTCTCAGTAGGAAGGGAATATGTATGCTTTTCCTTTACGATTTTCATAAGTCATTAAATCTCCTACGACACACTAACCGAAACTCTTTCGTAAAATAATCAAGAAGGTTGCTAAATATGGTTTTATTCGAGCTCAGGAATAATTCCTTTCAATAAGCGGAGCATCTGCAAGCACTTGCTGCTTTGATAGGGTGGATCGCAGTCATCCTGTGTAGTGTTCAATCAGATTTCAGAACAACGATACAATAAATAAATAACTGGTCCGTTTAAATTAATTGTGATCCGGCGACGAATGCAAATTTATCCACTTTTCATATACCTATGGTAGGATTGCAGTTAAATTTGGTGGACCTTAGTGTTCCCAACCGCCTACTGAAGGATGGAGGTGGAAAGGAAGTTGTTACTGCAGTCCTTTTTATGTGATTCCAATTTGAAGCGTTCGCTCAGTATCGGCTAATAATCCTATTGTTACCATACAGCCTCGTTCGGGAACTTTAAAATGCCATTCTAAGAAAGTCTGAGAAGTGTAGCGACTGTTTTAACATCAAGATAAGTGGACAGTGGACATTACTAGATGTGAAAACGAGGTGCGGTCATAATAAATCAGTCGCCTGTTTGAAGACCGCCGTGACTCACTTTGCATTTGAATTGTGATTGCACAAATTGCTTCCTAATCACACAATTCCAACATGCTAAAATTTTAGTGGTACTAGAGAAGAACCGGAAGTAGTCAAGCAATTTACACAAAAGTGAATTACTTTCTAAATATAAAGTTGCAAAGGAAACAAAGCATAGCAAAATTGTTCTTGAAGGAATTCATTTGATCAGGACCCTGCCATCTACAAACTACATAAATGTCATTAAACGTCAATTTTGAAAAGCCAAATTTAAATCTCATTTGGAATGTGCTCGAATCAATGTGTAGGATAGTGATGGAGGAAATGGAAGCTTTGAGCGAAACACTTAAACGAAAGCGAAGCTCAAAGTCATGGTAGAACTGAAGGCGAATATTTTCTAAAAATGTTTTGATTAGTTCGAGAGGATATGCTTGACCAATGGTCCCGCAAATTGTTTTATTTAACTCTTTTTATGGATTTTATAGTAGGACGTGCTCATTTGTGTCGCTTCCGTCTCATATGACAGGCCAAAGGAAAGCCACCCAAATGCGCAGTTATGCTCTTCTTCAAAAGTGATCCCGATAGAGCTGACATGGCATTTTTTATTCTTTTATGGCTTATTTTAGTGGTGAAACATGTGCCTTCAAGGGTTATGGGGCGGGGGTTTAAGCCTTTAGGCACTAATTCATATTGTTCAGGCCTCTGACCCCCTGACTATTCTACATGTAGTAAGTAGCTCTGAGTACTGACGACTAGCCAAACTACACAACCGTTTATTGTGCACGCAACCTGAAGTCGTTTGCCCACTTCATCACGTCAACCCATGCATTGATATCGGAGTCGGTACTATCAAGTTACATGTGGACATAAGCAACCAAAATGTCTCCATTTTCATCTAAACGAAGTGAGTTGATTTGGATTAATGAGAGACCTTAATGGGTGGAAATGAAGCCTATTCAATCAAATTGTTAAAATTTAGTGTTACTACATACTGAAATATACTAAGAGTAAATGTACATTCGGTTTAAAAGTTTGCAGCTTTTTGAAAAAATAAAAAAATGCTAAATCGCTACAATGGCGTTAGAGGTAATGCATTTTCTGCCATTTAATGCTTTTGGTTTGAGAGGTTTGAGAGTGGCCAATCAAGTATTAGGATAGATTCAATCCTATATGCGATCACTCTGAAGATGTTTTTGAACAAATAGGTGATTAATAAATGCACCTAAAGGTTCATTCCATGAGAAGAAAAATGTTCCGACGTCGAGATGATTGCTCGCAGAATCACGGTTTTGGTCCACAGAAATTAGCTTAACTTGTTTGCCTTCAAAATGAATGTATGAACATCATTAATCTTTGTTTTGATCATTCTATGCGTAAACATCACAGTCCTTTCACTTTTGTCTAACTCACCAATCGAAGCATTACTCATTCACTGGTCCGAGAATTTGGGGACCAAGTATTGTTCCACTTTGTAAATTTTGGCTCAAAGGTTAACTTACGACTGGTACCGTGTTTCGAATCGGATTAAAAAAGAGACCCTGATGAGAACTAAGCATGGTGAACGATGTTTGTTTGATCAACAGTGCTTTGGTTACAAAACAGAGGAAAAAATAGAAGAATCAACCTTAACAAAACTGTCAATCCTTCACTAACTTAATGTATCTACTTTGGTTATCTGAGAAATGGAGATGCTTGTGTCATTGTAAATTAGGATATCAAACTTTGGATCGAAGTGGGTCAATGCATTTCACGAAACGCTTTCATTTATCACAGTCTAGAAATGACACTTTCGTTTGCATTGTTTGAATTGCGGAGGAGGATGGTAGTTTGGTGGGAATGGCTGTCTTGACCTAAACGAAGTCGCTCACGCAAATGGGATTGTAGATCGTGCCAAAAAGATGCAATTTAGAGATTATTGTAATCTCAGATATAGGTAAAAATATTTTTCCACTACTTATTTTACTTATATTTTTTCCATGAAGTGTCTCGGTTGGCTAAAAAAGGCCTACAAGTCCCTCTTGGACCACCTCTCGTCAAGCTGTTGCATTCCGAAACACACATTCTTTGTCAAACTGGTATCTTCTCCAAGCCTATCTTTGACAAGCCATCTATAGGCGGAGAATTGCATGGATAAATTATTTTCATTATAGACACCGTTATAGAAGTAGGATGGGCATATGGTTAAGTAAAAGGCGTTGTCTGAGTTGAGTTAGCACAACTCCTGCTAAATTTTATTCATCCAGTCTCAATAAATGACCTTCTAAACCCACCACAGCAAAATTCGCAAAGTTTTGACCGTTTCTTAATACCCCGCTTAAAATGCAGCGTCATGTTTACAGTCCTTCCCACTGCAAACCTCTCCGCCCGTTCCAATTACAAATTAATTATATTTGACCACTGTGCAGCGACACGAATGTGTGACGATATTTGGGTTTAATAAAGACCTGATTCTACTAGTTTTTTAGTTGGCTAAATTCATTGTTTTAGACCGATCAACCATTGTAATTCAAGAAGAATGACCAAATGCGAAATGACCAGACGAGAAGCTGTGCTAATTTTAAGGGATAGCAGCTTTTGTCTGCTTCCATGAAACTAGTAGAGCAAAAGCGGCGACATCACCGCAAATCCTCAGCAAAATCTTTAGAGTACTGATTCGTCTAGTTGAGCCTCATTAGGCATAAGAAAAGCCATCGCAGCTGCAGCATTTTCACCGTGACAATGATTAATACTCGTCTCTCTTCCAGCATAATTTTACAACCCTCTTCACTCAGAGGGAAGAACTTGGTGATGATTTCCTATGCGCTTCTATGAAAAAAGCTGGCAAGGTATTGCAGGCGAGAACCGCGTTAAAATTAATGAGTTTCAGTATTTTTAGTCTTCTTTTCCACGGCATGATAAAAAAGCCAAAATTCTGGTTTTAATTTACTGTCTGACTGGTCGAAATGGCAGCACGCATAGGCTTGGACAACCTCTTGCTTTTTTAACCTTTCCTCCTTCCGATGGAGAAATATTTATATGGTAAATCGAGTATTTTGGCAGTTGTTAAGTTGTGAGATGAATAAGGATTTAGTCCGTTACGATTCCCGACAGGAATTTATAAAATATTTATGATTTCTTTGCTATCTGGTGGGAAAATGCAGTCTGACTTAAAAATATGGTCCCCATGGGGCAAACTTGTGTGCAGAGGTTTCAAAGTCGGCTTCCTGTGTGTTGAATAATGCGATACCGGTTGCAAATACGGAAGCAACGTACATGTAAAAATTTGTTCCTGGCAATTAGGCCAAAAACATTATTTTAAAAAATGACACATGAAGGACGTATTATTGTGAGTTGACTAACCATATGGGATTATTTCGACACTATCCTTATGCAATGAGCTAACCGTTAGCAAGAGGGTTACAATCAAGTGAAACTTGTTTATCGTGCCGCTAAACACAAATGCTAAAGCATATTTTTAGTCTAACTTTGGCTTGACTTAGTTTATTTGTAAGTTCGTGCAACAACTTTGTGAACCACGAATGGTCTACATCGACAAGCTGCACATCAATACACAGATGGAGAAGATAACTTCTGCGGACACTTAAAGCAAATTTGAGTCTGACTTAAAAACTGACTTCACCATTTCATATTTCGTTCCCATCATCGTTCAAAATAAGACAGTTCTTTGATACTATTCTTAGAAGCGTCCGAAACCTCGCATAAACAAGGCGTATATTCACATGCCCGTCAACCTAATTCGCTCACTATTAAAGTTGAATTTGAAGTAATGATCATGCGCGCACTTCAAATATCCTCCACAGATGGTGCAAATACACGAAAGGAAGGGCAAACAGGAAGTTAGAGAGGATGAGGTATGACCACGAGAACTTCACAAATTAATCCAACTGTATCTGCAGGACAAATATGCACGGTTTTACGTGTCAACGGTGGAGCATCATTGCAAGCATTTGAGGTGTTTGGACGTTCGTGAATGCCGTTGATGGTTGAACCTTGACCGCGACAAACTCTAATGCATATGAGTGTGAGCAGAGGCGAGACAGAAGAAGTAATGGATTTTCTTCCCAATGCACGATTACAAGTCGTTAAATAAAAAATTTAGATATCCACGAGTACCATTGATAAACATCAATTTCATCTTTAGCAATCCGTTTCAGTACAACTCTAGCAGAGCAAAAATAGTGTTTTATTTTATTTTTCAATCCAGAAATGGTTCTTCACGCAGTGTTTGCCTAAGGAAGAGGAAATGCAAAGGTACTTTAATGGTCCGGACAAGTTCAGTTATACAGCTCAAACATTTTCTACATGCTATTTAAGATTAAGCTTTAGAATCGAAATCTCTTCTTTTTTGGACACCTGCACCCGTCAGAGTGTTAAAATAGTGGCTTTTTTAATGGATTTTAGTTCTTCCCATCGTTCCTCGAAAGTCATCTTCACTCAAATCACAAAGTCATAAAAGGTCTGAAGATTTATAATACGAATTTGTAGCGTTGTGAAAATTACGCTGTCGTTGAACAAATAAACAGAAAACGCTCCTTTTGTTAAGTTAAAACCTTTTTTTAGAATTTGAATTTGTCCGACAAGTAAGCGCAATGTTTAAATTATAAATTCATATTTGACCAAAAAGTCCAAAAAAACCTCTCAGTCCGGTGCTGCATAGGAACTGGGCAAATTTTCAACATTGATGTTGCCTCATTGACATAGTAAATAATACAACAGGGAGCGCCTCTCAATTCATATCTGAAACGTTTGTAATTAGGCCTAGGACAGGACGAACGTTCACCGATAAGACGATAATATCCAACAAAGTTAATTGTTGGATTTTCTTTCCATAAATAACCAAGGAATGATTGCTCGCAAGACGTTTGGCTTTATTTCGAATAAGAGTTTTTAAAACGGTTTGATGAAAAAGTGGTAGAAGTCATTTGGTAATTAAAATGTGCAGTACAGCTTCCTTGCCAAATCGAATTCTGAGAGAATTTCTGTGCTGCAAATGGGATGCGCATTTTGGTGTTCTTGGCGCAAAATTTCTGCCAACTCTAATAAAAAAGTTGTAATATTTTTGTGACTATTGGTAATTTGTCGTCAAGTTTTACAATGCTTTTTCAGATGAAATACCTGGCCATTAGTGCTCCTAGTCCATTATCATTTCGATGCTAAAATGAGCTGAAAGATTTGCAGCTGTTTGCTTCACTTTCGTCCATCGGCTGCCTCTCATATTATTGTTTCACTGAAACTTACCGTTGCAGAGGAAGTTCCATCAGAAAATATGCGTCCTGAATTTTCCTGTCATGTGGATGGGTAGAGGACAGGCGTAATGGTCAAAAGTGTAAGAGCAGTCGAGGAGAGAAGAGGGAGGTAATTTCTTTTGTGTGGGAGAGTGTTCGTAAAAGGTGTGTGTGGTATGCTCACACGATTGCACTGCAACAATTATAAATCCTTCAGACCCACTTCTCAAACCAGACCCTCAATTGCCCTGGTCGGGAATCGGTAACAAGAATTCGTACATTTGGCCTGCCTCAAAATAAACATGACATTTCAAGTTGAAAAATAACCTGGGTCAATTTTTCGGTTGTGCTTCCGAAAAATGTTTTCATTAGCCATGCACACTACTGGTGCATCAATCGACAATCGTACTTGACCACGACAGACTATATCCTCCCTGAGTGGAGAAGATTTTCGAAGAACTTCACTCATCGCATCTCACATGTGGGCCAAGTGGCCCGAAGTGGTAGGATTTAAAAGGCAGGCAACATGTATGTTCAAAACTTTCCATTTCGATAAAGTGGTTTAGTTTCTGAGACTCTGCTCACCTCATTACTCATGAGTTCAAACTGGTTTCAGGAAAGTGAAGGAATTGTGACTTGCATAGGTGAAAATTTTATAATGCCTTAAATCTAATTTCTCGTGGACTCAATGATAGGTAGGATTTGTTAAGGCACTTTTGCCTCATCTTATTCTAAGTTTGACCACTGAATCTCATCATGAAGTCTCATTAATGCATAAAACTATGAAACATGGAAACGAACCTTGTTATTCTCGGCCGTGGCGTCATTGTCACGAGCCTTGACCTCTCCAATCGGAGTATTTATCTTTGCGTTTTCGTCAATAAGAAACTGATAGAGAGGTTTGTCGAATTCGGGAGCACAGTCATTTTCATCAAGCACTTCTATTGTTAGCATCCCAGTCCCTTCGTTGACAGGCTCACTGGAATCCGTCTCATTTCCCTCACGGTCTCGAACGATAACCATCAAATTAAATCTTCCAACGATTTCCCTATCAATGATTGTGGCCGTTGTCACTAACCCTGAGTGACGATCCACTTTGAAGTTCTCGGCACCTTCTCCGCTTATCGAGTATACCAGTGCTGCGTTCTTTCCAACATCAGCATCAAAAGCTTCCAATCGGTAAACGTTTACACCCACGACCGAATTTTCCTTTATGCGAGCAACCATGGGATGATGCTTAAATAGAGGTTTGTTATCATTTTTATCAAGAATTTGGAGCTTGATATCCACGCGTGAGGTCTGACGTGGTTGCCCGGAGTCATGGCAAGTAAGAGCTACAAAAAGCTCTCCCAACTGTTCTCGATCAAAGGATATTCTTGTGAGCAGTTTAAATTGACTTTGGGAGCCCTCGAAAAGCGGCTCAAGGGAAAGGCTGTCGTGGTTTATCTGGCATTGGAACGCTGCTGTACCCTCGTTCTGAAAAGCCGATGTTCCAACAACTTGGTCTTCATCGCTCAAGAGAACAGTCGCGATGAAGTGACCCGGTGGTCTGTCTTCTTCCACTTCCAAACAAATGGGTTTGTATCTTTGGGTTTGTTGGTGCTGTTGGTTCTGAATCTCATTTTCCGTTTTCTTTGTTCTCACTGGTCGGACTGTGATAATTGGTGCGTGGTCATTAAGATTGATTATTTGGATTCGCACCTCTTGGTTATCAAGATATTTCCCATCACTGACAACAATAGGAAGAATATAGGAACTCTGCGTCTCGTAGTCTGGCGACTGTTTTAAAAAGATAGTTCCATCTTTTTCCCTAATTCCAAATACAGCTCGGGCGGCTGGCGTTGTTGTGCCGTCGAAGGAGAAGATCAAATTTTCCCTATCACTAATGTCGGGTTCAACAACATGAGGCGTGTACAACGCCTGACCATAAGGGGCGTTTTCCTGAACCTCAATTGTCGCAGAATTTCGTCTAAGCGCTCCATCCATTCTGAGTTTTGCATACACTCCATCGACAGAAGAATCTTCTGGAGGCAAAAAGTAAGGTGCGTGATCATTTATGTCCTTCACATTAACACGAATGGTGACACTTCCTGTCTTTGGGGCAAAACGACTGCCGTCAACGGCTGCTAGTTTTAGCACAAAAGACCGGGGTGATAGATCGGTTTTATCGTCGATTTTGGGAAGAGGTTGCTTTCGCTGAATTAAACTAATCTGTCCTGGAGTCTCGTAGTCCACTTCACCAATTATCTGCAGCCAGAGTCGAAATGTAGGTCCTGCGCAGGCCTGCAGATTCCAGCCGTTGCTCCATCTATCCAGAACAAAATGCTGAGGGTCCTTCTGTTCCAAAACTTCCGTATCCAATTTGAAGTATCGATTAACGTCAGGACTATGGATATGGCTACCTCCGTAATCCACATCAGGTATACTGGAAGAAAACAAAAAATATCTGGAGGTGGTGTTTTCAGGACCACAATCGGCATCTAATGCCACCGGCAGATGAAATCGGGCTCCTGGTGCTGTGTGTTCTGGAATAGTGATATTGACTGAGTCCTCCTGCCATTTAGGGGCATTGTCATTGATGTCTAGTACAAAAATTTTTACAAGTATGACCTGAGGTTCGTACGTTCCACTTGCTGGCTGGCTCTCCAGACGAAGCACTTGCAGATCTATGGAGCATGGTGCTTCAGTAGGGTCAGTGGTAGATATCTGATGGCTGTTTTGTGAGGGCGGGCAAATCTCCTCGCGGTCGATGCGGCCATTGGTTGTAATTTTTCCTGATATGCTATCTAGTTCAAACAGCCGTGTGGCTGTTAGTAACTGATAGGAATCACCATTGGGCTTATTGGTTATATAGTGGGGCGCATTCAAACCAACATCCTCATTCAAGCAACCGACTAGAGTACCTTCGGGGCATTCCTCGGTTAATTGAAATTGCACGTTTATGCTGGCCCTCTGACCTGTTGCCCACATGGCAGAGAGGATGGGGAGAAGGGTGATGAATAAAGATAAAGCAATCATTTGTCTAAGAACACATGCTATTTACATATGAAGCAACTGCTGAAATGTTTGTGCGTGTAAAAACACAAAAAAACTGATAGGTGCAGTGGTTTCGCTTCCACAATTTGCCATATTGACCAATCCCTGACCAAACACGTGTGCATGTCCTGTGATTGGCTGTCACTAGGCTTAGGATGCTAAATTAACCTCTCACTGACGCGTGCGCCTGGGAGCGCCTGCAACTAGCACTGTGTGTGTATGTGTCAGTGTATGTATGTGTGTGGGTGCGTGTGGCCTTGTAAAGCGGCAAAAATAAAGATCTCCTCTTCTATCCCGGTGCACAAGGGGTAACTCTATCAAATTCACTGAATGCTGTTCCATTTGAAGAAAGCAATTTTCCTTATTTGATTTTTTCGACTCTCCAGTGCAGTCCATTCAGATCCTGCCACAGTCTCACTATTATATTGCTAAGGTTTCAGTCTATCTGTTTCAAAAATAGCAAACAAGAACATTGTGTTAGTGTTTGAAAAAATGTGCTAGCATCGAATAATGAAGGTTTTTGCCATAGGCTCCGTAAAGTCGCCACTTTAACATTTATGCACTTAAATTATAATTCACCTCTGCCCCATGACGTAAATTCATCGGTCACAGGAAGTGAAGTAATTTTCTTAAGATATGTTTGCAAGAGTCCTCAGCAGTGACTAATATTGCATTCATGGCTTGAGGTATACAACCAAAGATAAAAAATGCAACTTCTAGTCACTTGGCAGCAGCTGTTTTGCAGTCACATAACAAGCACTCAGCCCTTCACACACAATTTGTAGAACGGTCTGCATCCACTTGAAAAGTCCTGCACACTTTTTCTTGAAAAATATTTACAGAACATTGGACACTTAAGAAAAGCTGCGTTTGTATAAAATAAATAAAGCAGGCAGAGCGCTTTGAACGCACAGGTTTATGCTTATGCATCTTAGTAAGCATATCATGGCTAAGTTGGTGATTGCAATGGCGCTAAGAAGTTTGATACATTGTAGAACAGGATTGGCCTCGCGCAGTAGATTGGGTTTTTAAATCAATTTTTTAATGTGGTCAAATCAAACTTCGGCGGATGAGTAATGAGCGTTCACCACGATAGCAGCTATCTAACTACGATTTCGCCTCCTCTCTTTCCTTACAGCGTTGCACACCAGAACGTCCAATAAGTAGTCATTTGTTGCGTAAATATCTTTAGCGAACGTAAGCTAAATTTGTTCACATTACGTTAACGATGGAGTATGAAGAGAGCCATATTGTTACATATTTTATTTTTATGGCTGGCCATGCATCGTAAACGGGCCTCTGAAAGAGTTGCGTGTGATGATAAATGGTTAGATAACGGGAGGTTTCCTGACATTTCAATTGTCTGGACATGAAAAAGCTACAAGCAGGTTTGAGATTTCGAAATATATCCTTAGGTAATAAACAAATCAATTTCTGTTAGTTAGCAAAAAGAAAAACAGTCATAATGAAGTGGAAATGAAACCTAAATCTTCCTTATGATTCAGGCTTTTATAAAGTGCCTAAGAAACACACCCTGAAACACCTCATAAAGAATGTAAAGTCCTTACTTCATGTTGCTTCCTTGGTGCTCAGATAGTTGATGCCTCATCTCAATGCAGATACGAAAGTGATGAAACAGAGTTAAAGGGAACATGCAGCGACCCACATGTGTCTCCCGATTTTGTAATGGCGTAATGTTTGCATTTGGCCTTCAGCGGGTTCATATTTTACCTTGAAGGAGGTATGTGACCAAAAGGGCTGTCCTCTCATTAACTGTATACACCTGCACTCTCAAATCATGCTGATTTGGGGAACCGTCGAGATTTGTTTCTAATCCACTTGCTATTTATTTTCAGAAGCAAGAAAACTCACCTAAAAATTGGTCGACTGTCGACCTCAAGTAATACAAATTCAGACTGCTTCAGTTTGACAAGCATTAAAATTCAAGGCTGTTTAGAATCGTCCGAATGAATAACTGAGCACACGGTCCTGTCCACTGAACTTTAATTAATCCAGCTCCTCTGGGTGCCATTACTGTTCATTCTCCCCACAACAAGCATATGCTTTGTAAATGACAAATTGGATATAAGTTGCATGAAATACGACCGGTCCCACGAGAGATAATAGGAACGAACATTGCGTCCCACTTTTCACTAAGGAACTGCAAGTACTAAATATGCAAAATAGTACTTAATGCTACTACTAATTGCATGCATTAATTTTTCTGTTCTAAATTACAAACATGTGCTCACCTGTCCTACGAAACATTAAAAATGGAGGTCGTCTTGGTTGGGAAGTTGTACTTATTTTAATCAGGCCTAGTACAGGTTAACTTTGTATGACTTCGTGCACCTTCCAGTGTGATTTCATGAGACACTTCGGACAGTATACCATAAATTATGCAAAACCGTGCGAATTCTTGACTTTTGAATGATAGGTAATGTTAAAGAAAAGAGCTTCTTCTGATGGCACAGGCCCCTTTTGGGACCTTCCCGGTAAATATGCACAAGAAGTAAGACATTTTCTCAGTCAATTGTGTTCGTCACTTAACTTCTGCTTTCCATGCCCTAAGGTAGACATCTTTTTTAGTTTGATAAAATCGAAAAAAGAAAACATTTGAACGTTTCCTTTTGTAATAATTAAACATTTGTGTCCATTTTTACTAGATTTTTCGACTCCCTAGTTATGCCGCCTCCTTTCAAATAAGTGGACAAAGGACTGGTCCAGTAAGTCTTCCCGTATTGTTCTCGCACAGTCTCTACCAGTAAGCAATACATTAGTATTGAACCTTCAATTTAAATTTGAGCATTAAAGGTTAAAGTGGCATAAAAATATGTGCAATATGACAGTAAGACCAAAAGCTGGTCATTTGGACCATAAACTGCTCCAAATAAGGGGTCGCCAGCGTGTCCCTCAGGCTTATGGAGACTCAAAGTCAAACTGGCATCCTCCAGGCTAATTGCGACAATCAGACTAATCGATTGGAATAAAATCACCAAATGTTGCTACCAGAACCTTGCAACAAGTCGCTATAGTTACTGAGTTGCATGACGGTAAGGAGTGTTGTTAACAAACTCCGAATTTAAACGAGGTCATTGCTGTTCCGGTCTTCATTTGTTATGAAGGTATTGACCGTTAACCTTCCATTCCAACTTTGGCAACAGTTCCATTACTTGTTAAAGGATGCATTTGTTTCTCTCTCGACTGCATCCACGTTTTTCTTCCCTTGTAATTGTGTCTGGTGACTGCCTCATGAATTATTTAGGACGTTTTGAGTACTAAGGAGGCCTCTGCCCAGTCTATCCCCAAAAAGACGATATAATAGCGTGACTTGCAGATCTTTTATTTTGTTGCGAAATTTTTTTGTTTTTAAATGCGAAGACATGAAAAAATGAACTTACTTTCTTACATCGCTTTAGCTAACCACTCATTTTAAGGATTCCGCTTTACAGCCAAATGATCTGGCTTGGGCATATTTGGAACAAATGGCGCAAAGATGTAGATTTGATGCGCTAAGACATTTTCAATACCAATTACACTCGCTTTTTTGAACGAAAGCATTCTTATCTAGCTCTGCTGGTACCGCTTTACTTTGCTCCATAGCACTGCTTTGAGTTCTGATGAACGTGGATTTTTGAATAGTTTCGTTGGGAATCTTGAGTGATTGTTGCAAAACCTTCCTGCTGTTTTAATGTCAAATATTATTTCGACAGTTTTAACGGTGTGAACAACTCTCATTTCCCGCGAAATGCACCTACCTGACGATATTCCTCTAGAGTTAGGGTAAACTGCAAGCAAGTTAAGAATGCTAGCTATTCCTCAATACTTACTTGAATTCTCTGAACACTTTATGCTTCTCTACAATGTACTACACAGAGAGGATTTACAATCTGAATAAATTGATTTTATGATTGCTACTTCAAGCAAGCCGTTAAATATGTAATGTCACACTTAGTACGATGATTTCCTTCTCACATTTCCCCTAAGATCAACGGGCTAAACCCTAGTAAATCGGCTACTCTTCCCATTGGCAGTTACGACTCGATCCATATAAACTCCGTGACACCTTATCAGTAGGATTCCTCTCTATTTTAATGTAATTTCGAGATGCGGGCAAAAATTTGCTGCTTGAATTTAACTCACTTCATTTCACTTTACGAGAACACTTAACGTCACATACAAATATCATCCAATCGAGGGAGGCACGGTCGCTCCCCGTTTGGTCCATTTTTTGAGTTACTTTCTCTCCCTTTTCCAAATAAACGCAAGTTAAATAGAGATTACACTGCTTCTCACTCATCCGTCCCTTTCATTTCCCTCCTGAGTTTTGTAATTGCTTTGTGTTTTTCCCCAACGTATGTGGAAAATTAAATTCAGCTATTTTCCTCATTGCTTGTTGTGCTAAAACCAAGAGACTTGGATTTTCAAAAAGTCTCCTGCACCCTTATGCAGAATACGCAAATTTCCAACTGAATTACACTTTACCTCTTATTTATTTCAATGCGCTGATGCAGGAACAACAATGTTTTTTGAAGGTTTGTGATGCATTTAGGTAAACCGAACGGGTTCTTGTGATTTTTCACGGGGCAAAGCGTCGAAATTTATTGAAGTTATTTAAAAAGTTTCTCATTTTGGACTAGTCACTGCCAAAATCTACAGTTCTTTCTTAATGATGGGTAGGCTTGAGAAATCCGCTTTTGTCAGTGATTAGACTCTAGGAGGCAAAAAACATTTGGCCTTTACTTGCAAATCACTTAAGTCACATGTGATTGTCGGTTTCTAGGAGGATGCAATTCTCACGTTGAAAATACGTATCACAGGGCACAGGAGATGGAATTGAGCGTCTCACGATTATGCATGCCTTTTGAAGGTTAAGTTGTTCCATCAGCGCAAAACAAAAAAATTCCAACTTTATTTTGAGTGATGAACAATTATACCTGTCTCTCTAAATCGACCTCTTGCGAACGCGCTTCAGACATGCC